GCCCGCGGGGGAGGGCCCACGGGGTAGGGGGCGTGGCTTCCCCGGCCTCGCAGGGGAAACCCACGCGCGAAAGCGGCGGGGTCTCGCGTGGGTTGTGCGAGCCCGGGTTTTACCAGCGACGTAGGAGGTGGCAGCGCAGAAAGCCGCGTTCCTCGGCGCCAGGCTGCCAGGGGACCCTCCAATACGGCTCCTAAAGCTCGCGACCTCCTTACCGGTGCGCGGCTGCCGGCCTCCGTCCCTAAAATCTCCGGTTTTGCCCACGTGCTGAGTGCGATCGCATTCCGCTGTGATTCGCGTCTCTGGCACTGGCGTCTCCCCCCTTGTGCGCACCTCCTGCTCATACCCTGGGCTTATTGTTTTCCCCCTTGGGACACAACATCCTTAGACCAGAAACCCTGAGTTCCCATTTGGCCAGATCCATCAACTTTTCACCTTATAGTCTGGGCTTTTGCTGTCGTGTTTTAAAAGTCTCCTCTTGCCCTGGCCGGTTGGTTGGGGCGTCATCCCGCACACTGGAAAGTCAGGGGGTTCGATTCCTGGTGGGGCCACATACCTAGGCTGCGGTTCCCTCCCAGTAGGGAGCGTTTGGGAGGCGGCCTATGGGTGTCTTTCCCTCTCGCTTGGATGTTTCTCTCTGTCTGGTTCTTCCTCCCCCACTAAAATTTTTTTAAAAAGTCTCTTCCTTCCACCCCAGGAACTGATATTCTCGATTAGCTTTGTGGTTTTCCCTTCCACATTTAGGTCTGAGCTGAGAGCCCATCTCAGGCTTCCTTATTTATTTGGAGCCCGTGCTGTTAAACAACTCTTATTTCACAGAAGAGGAAATGGAGGCCCCCGAGAGAAAACACCTTGTCTAGAACCGCAGAAGGTGTTGCTGTCTCGTTGGAGAAACCTGCGCTCCTCCTGCACGTTCCCATCCCCGCGACCCCGAGGCTGAGCGGCGCGGAGCAGGTGGCTCACCTGGGGCGAGGGGGGCCGGCTCGGCCCAGGATCCCTGCGCGGGCCTCTGCTGCCATCTACAGGCCACCTGCAGTACCGCAGGCGCCGGGGCCGCCGTCCCACCCACAGGTGTCTGAGCTGCTCTCCTGGCTTCGGGATTACTGACCAGCGACCCCCCAGGGCCTCAACACACAGAGGCACGTGGGTGTCTGCCCTGCCTCCTTAAGGCGACCTTCAAACCAACAGGGTTCAGTGAAACAGAAGGCCCTGACAATAGCCTCAACTGACCCACTGGACCCTTCTTTCCAAGCAGATGCTAGGTGAGTGCTCGGCCTGGGCACCCAATGGCCTCACTGGACTGAAAAGGGAGGGCTGTACCCATCCCATATAGCCGACACGACAGACACACAAGACAGAGAAACCCAGAGAGGCCAAGGAACCTGTCAGAAGTCAGCAGGCTGTCATGGCACAGCCCCTATCCCAACTCCAGGGCCCAGCTCTTACCCTCAAACTATGCCCTCCTCTTGTGTGCCTCCCTGACCCCCTCCCACATCCACATGTACAAACATACTCACACGGTTCACATATACACACGTGCACACACATTTACACATATGCATGCACAAGCACACAACACACACACTCACATACATTTATGTCCAGCTGCACCCAGGACCTCTTGTCCCTGAGCTCCATGTGAGAATGTGATCCGAGATCTCAGAGCCTTGAAGGAAGCCCTGAGATCTGGAAGCTCCCGCTGCTAGGAAGCTGGAGAAGGATCCTCCCTCTGGAGACTACTGGTTGGACGGGTGAACCCGAGGCTGAGCAAACAGAGTCCCATTCACAAGCAGAGGACTGAGCAGCAGAGGGTAGAGGGTGGCTCCTCTTGCCAGTCAAGGGCATCTCAGTGCATGCTCTGAGATAACTTGTTTTCTAAAAATGGAGTTAATTAGATTACAATTTCTCTAAAAGTTTTATAATTGTATTTCTTAAACTGATGTCTTATTACAAATTAAAAAATTTTAATTACGTAAGTAATGCTTGCTTATTATGATAAATTCAAACTATACAGAGATGTAAAAAGTCAGCAGTGGTGATGCCTCTCCCCTTGCAGTCCCCATAAGCAATGGCGACTTACACAAGCACACACATTCCCCACATCGGTCCCACACAGACAGGTGTTTTGCAGCTGTTCATTGTTTCCCCTCTTGCTGCCCATGTTCCCAGCAGCTATCTGCCACATCCCCCTGCACTCTGATGGGGGGATTCAGTATGTGGAATGGCTGGGCTGGGGCAGGGGCGGGTTCCTGGTGGCAGACTCTGCCTCGCAGCCCGCATGATAGGTGTATGTCCAAGAGGATGAGACTGAGGCCTTTGGAATAGCTTACAGTGACCAGGGGTCCAGAGAGTGCCCGGGAGAGCTACATACCACCTCCCCAACACACACACACACGTACACATGTGGACGTCCTTCGTGAAGAGGCTGTACATGGTGAGAATATAGAGACCAAATGAGCCAGACTTTGAGGAAGGCACTGCTGTGTACTGTTGTGACCCATTTTGTGACTGCTCTGGGTGGAGAAGAGAAGGGAAATCCTGGAGCAAGGCTCATCCCTGGGGAGCAGGGGAGGGGTTACCCTGGAAGGGATAATGTATGGATGTGGCAAGTAAAACCCTGAGAGTAATTGCCACCGGGTGGCAGTGTAGGACCAGCAGTCAGGAGAGGCAGGCGCAGACCAGCCAGGGCAGAAGGGGTGATAATGAGATGGCCAGGGGACCCACAACGCCAGGGGCAGGCAGGCACCTGGGGAGAAACAGAGGCACACCATGCTCACAGCACCGGGGGAGGTGCAGAGCGCTGTCATTTACAAAGGGTGGTTGGAGGGCAAAGCCCTTGGGGCCGTTTAGTTTACACACAGAACTGCACAATCACTGACTTCTGTAGGGGACACCTTCAAGGGGACACCCATGGTGTTCTGACTGGCCTGGGGGGAGGAAAGCTTCACTGAGGACCTTTCAGCTGGATCTTGAAGGATGCCTAAGAGTTGGCATGTCACAGGCACCTAGAGAGGAAATGGAGGAGGGACTAGGACCCTGGGCATCAAGCCCCAACTAAACACCTGCCAGCTGTGAGATCCAGGGTATGTTGTAACCTCTCTGTGCCTCTGTTTCCTCACCTGTAAGGAGAGAACAATATGTAGTAGTTAGACAATGAAATGAGGCTGGAAGTTACTGAGAGCACCTGGCACATAGTAAACATTCAGTAAAGCAGTTACAGTTAGAGGGAAAGGGCCAGGTTCAAGTCCTAGCTCTGCTGCTTGGCAGCTGTGAAGTCCCTTCGTCTTTATAGTAATGGGACAGTTTCTATTGAACTGTCTTACCCAGGGGCCCCATGCTGGGCTCTCCAGCTGCCCCAGCCACCAAAGTGGGTGACCTGAGCTCAGCTTCTTTCCAGGGACCAGAGGTATACACTGGGCAGTGGGGGATGAGGGGAAGGGGACCCTGCCACTTCTCCAATTCTCTTATCCTCCTTCTGGCCTAAGGGCTTGGAGGTGTACACAGCCCCTATGGTCTTTCAAAATGCTCCTTGGTGAGTCCAGTGAGCTTGGAAAAGGCGAAGAAAGTCACAGGTAGGAGCATGAGCTCATGACTCAGAGTTGGGATCAAACTCCCACCCTGGTATCTCCTAACAAGGCATTTTTTCCCCTGGGGTTCAGTCTTCTGGTCTGCAAAATGGGGGCAATGCCAGCTGTTGAGGATCAAACTTAGCTCCATGTGGATGGAATGGGCCATCACGGCTCCATCCCTCTACTTTTATCCCCCTACCTCAGTTTAACTCCGGATGTTTGCAGCTCCCCGTCTCACTTCCGCATGTTTTGGAGGCCCACCAGCCCAGAAACACAAGTGGACTTCACTGTGGAGTGGGGCTGGGGGCTGACCCTCCCTGCCTGCCCGCCTCCCCAAGTGGGTGGTCATTTCCTCCCTGGTTGGCATGCAGGCCAGAGGCCAGCATGGGCGGACACTGGATGGCCCTGCCAGGTGCAAAACGCTGGGATGCGCTCAGAGAAAGTGTTCTTGCCTGGATCCTTCTGGCCGTGGTGGCCACGGGCTTGACCCCCCCCAGGTGGACCTGCTTGGATCTGGGGCCTCCCCCGCCCCATCCCTCTCCCA